GAGGATGAGGAGGTGGAAGAAGAGCAAATCTCTGGAGGCCCTCTGAGCGCTTCCTTGGGGGGTCCTGGGAGCCTTCTCTCGGAGGCCTCTTGGGGGCCACGTTGGGGGCCTCTAGACACCCTCTTGGCCGCCTTTGGAGGCCGTGTTGGGGCTCTTTTGGGGCAGTCGTGGGTTTCTTTTGGGGCGCTTGAGGGCAGTTGTGCAGTCTTGCGGGCATTTTAGGGGCCTCTCGGGCCGTCTTGGGACGATCTTCGGGGCCTACGCGGCCGGCTTGGAGCGTCGGAGGCCTCAAACGGCGAGAGCGGTAAGATCTTTTTGAAGAGCCGACAGCAAATCTTCACGCTTCGCGTACTCCCACCAGTGCAGTGGCTCCCCCGTCGTCGGTATTGTGACGGCGGCTTCCGCTTCCCCCTTGCACATCGGCGTGGTGACAGTACGGTCAGCCTTGTCGGCATTGGCAGAGAAGGTTGTCAGTCAGGCACAATTCGGCGCTCGTGCGAGACGTCGGCTGCAGTCACGGGAATGCCTTCGAAATGCACAAGCCGCACACCGCCCTGGTACCAGGGTTCTCGTGGTCGCTTCCATGGTGGTCTTTTTTCGGGGTTCCGGCCCGCAGTCCCCTCAGTTGCGTGCAGGCTGACCGACGTTCCAAGTGAGTGATTGGTTTGGCTCTGTTCTTTGGCAGTCCGGCTCCACCTGTGGGTCCGACCCCTTTTTTGCTCCCCCTCCCCCTCGCTGGCACACGTTCAGCGGCCGGTTTGTGGCCTTTTCGCTGGCAGATGCTCAGCGTTTCTTTTGCTGCTGGCACACATTCAGCTGCTTCTCGGCTGTCTCAGTGCTGCGCCGTTAACTATCTGCTTCCCGTGCGCTGCTGTCCCAGCCTCGTTCTTACCGCCCTCTGGAGTTTTTCTTGCGGGCCGCGAATCAAACAAGTATTCCCACCAGGGCTGCCCTTCAGTCGCGTACTTCTTGGGGCGGTTAGCTGTGTCCCCCCTTCCACACGCCCTGTCGCACTCTGTGGGCTGCAGTAGCCCTCCCACACCCGCGCGACATTGTGTTTTGGATTCTCGGCCAGCGTCTGCAGTCGGTGGTGGTTCCGTTGGCCGCGCGCCGAGTGGGTCAGCCTTCGGCGTCGTCGGCCTTCGTTTCCACTGCGTGCAGCTGGCGTCCCAGGCTAGTACATAGTTGTCTGTCTGGGCAGTTGCTCGGAGCTTGGCGCCGCAAGGGCGACTTGCTCCGCAGCTTGCACCTCTGTGCGCTAGGTGCGTCCCAGTGAATGCTGAGCATTTTGCTCACTGCACGTGCATTGCGCACTTCGCGTGGAATTTGCCTGTTCCGCCGTCCCGGACACGCCTGTTGCCGCCAGACCATTGTCGCGCGGCCGCCGACCAACAAAAATATTCCCACCTGGGCCTGGCGGACATCCTGGACTAGTCTGGCTCCGCCGCCTCCGTAATTTAGGTCGTTGTTTGCTTGTTTGCAATATCCTGACGGCGCGCGGTTCCTCCGCTTGCGCTCGCGAAAAAAATGAATCCCACCAGCCCGTTCAGGGACCTCTTTCCATGAGAGTTAACGGGAAAAGCGACGAAGAGACACATCTAGTGACATAAAGTTCGGTGGACGTATGGAGAACAGGGGCGAGGGGAGGAGGATTAGAAGGACGAGAAGGAGGAGGAGAAGGAGGAGGAGGAGGAGGCAAACCGCCCCTGCTCTTAGGGGCGCTTTTGGGCGCCCATGGGGCCGTCTTGGGGCCCCCTTGGGGTACCTTGAGGGCTTCTTGCGGCCGTTTCACAGGCTATCGATTAAAGGAGGGGGTCCTAACGTTTAGCCCCAGCTCGTGGGGCCATCAACATCGCTTGTTGGGGCGATCTTGGGGCCGTTTGGGGGGCATCTTGGGGCTCTCTTGGGCCGTCCTGAGGCCTCAACAGCGCCTTGGTATTGAATGTGCGACAATGCAACAATCATTGATGTTCCATAGGTTGTTGACGAAGCTGGCCTGTTGGGGGGTGTCCTGAGCGGACTCCGAGAGCAATTGGGGTCGTCTTGTGGTCTTCGCCGGGCCTCTTGGAGGTATGTCGGAAGCTATCTTGACCTATCTTCGGATATCTTGAGCCGCCGTGGAGGCCATCTTGGAGCACTGGAGGCTTTCTTGGAGACATCTTGGGCGCTCTAACCCCTCACGGATCCCCTGACAATGCCGCAGGGAGGGGGGAGGGTACCCTCCCCGAAGAAAAGAAGATTTTGAAAGAGGAAAGAAAGAACTCGTCAGATCATCTTAGCTTCAAGGGCAGGTGATTTTGGCCTCTTGAAGGTTATCTTGGAGACCTCGTGGGGGTTTATTGGACCGTCTTGGAGCTTCGAGTGCCCATCTTAGGCCGTCTTGGTTCCATATTCCGCCGCCTTGGATATATAGGGAACTTGGAAGAATAGTTGGCCCTCTTGGGGTCATTTTGACCCTCTCGGAATCCATCTTGGCCGTGTCGGAGCCCATCTTGGGACAGTCTTGCGTTTCAAGACCGACGGTATGTGTACCTCACGTGTCCTTTCAGGTGGCCGGCGGGTTGGGCCGAGACCCCCCCGGGAACCTTTTAAGAATAGCCAACACATTCCAGATGTTTGGCACGCCGTGCATCCCTGTGGCAAGCCACAAGCGGCGGCGGATCGAAGACGTCTACGGCGAATCACCGCCGTCGGGGAATATGAGGACTGTGATAAGTGAACAGGGGGCGGCGGATGACGGAGAGCGCGCTTGCGTCGCGATCTTTTAGCCGGGAGAAATATCAAAGGGGAGTGTGGTGTGTGGGGGTTGGCAAGACGAGCCCCACATCTATGTCCAAAGTTCGGCCCAAGTCAGCTCCAAGAGCGCCTAAGAGGCCCCCAAGACGGCCCCAGACAGCCCGAAGAGCGCCCAAGATATCTCCAAGACGGCGTCGGCGAGGTCCAAGAGGTCCCCAAGACGGCTCATGAGCGCTTAAAGAGGGTGCAATACGGCTTCAAGACGGCCCAAGAGACGCCCCAAGGCGCCCCAAGAGGCCCAAGGGGCCCCCAAGGGGACCCCCAAGAGGCTCGTTTATTTTTAGCATGCTAGCTCCTCTGGTCTTGACAGCGTCCAAGACGGCCCGAGAGGCCACCAAAATCGCCCCAGGAAGGTCTCAGGGGCCCTCAAAACAGTCCCAAGACAGCACAAAAGGGGCCCCAGAGGGTCCCGACAGGTTTCCAAGAGAGCCCCAAGAGGGTGACAAGAGGCCACAGGATGTCCCCAAGAGCGCCCCCAGAGAGCCCCAAGACGGCCCAAGCATGCCAAGTCGGCCAAAGAGGTTCTTGGTACGGCCCAAAAGAGCCCCAGAAGGACCCCAAGGAAGGCATCCGTAGCACTTTTGGCTCAAGCAGTTTTGGGGCAGTCCCGGTTAGACAGCAAGCAAATTGGCTTGCCTTGTCACCCCGCCCGTGTTCTGTTCCGGCACTATCCCCCGCAGGCGTTGCTCTCCAATGGCGGTGCCAGCGGTCGATGAATCCTGGCGCCAAGATTGGATATTGGCGCGCGAGGCGCCACCGCGCAGAGCTGAATTTCAGCGCCACGGGCCATCCACGTTCGGCGTCAACGTGCACGGGCCAGTGTTCTCTCACAAGGTTGGCGTCGGGAGGGCCCGCGCACCACAGCCCGAAGACCTGGGCGGCCTGCAGCGCGAGGCGTGGGCGTCCGCGGAGGAGCATGGGCGGCCTGGAACGCGGCCGGGGGCAGCCACCGGCCCTCACAGTGCTCGGTGCACGTGCGCCAGGGGCAGGCCCGGATGGGTCCAAGACCTTGCATTGAGTCGGGCCTGTCCCTCTACAGGGGGGAAATTTGTTCGACAATAGTAACAAGATAGTCTGGGGACTATTTTCTATTGTGTTTGAGCGTTTTTGGCGCATGTGTTGAATCTTTGTTTCATTGCTCATCCGAACTCCCCCTGTAGGGGGACAGGCCCGACTTGAACCTGCATGGCGCGGTCGGGGCTGCGGTGTTGTCTTTGCGCCAGACGCTGATCGGCAAGCCCTCCGCTCAGAAGAATTACGATATCACGGAGACCACGCCATTTGCACCAGCCTCTCCACCACGGGCCGCTCTCAAACTCGGGCGTCGGTCACAAATCGATGGACGTGCGCAGCAAGGAGATGTACAGGCGGTATGCCAAGCCGTAGTGCAGGGCTTATTTAATCGCTTCGCTCATGCCGCCGGCCCTGGAGCCCTCTGTAGGGCCTCTTGGGGTTCTCTTGGGGACCTCTTGGGAGTCTCTTGGGGCTCCTTGGCGGCGTTTTGGAGGCCCCCAGGGCCTCTTGGGGGGCTCTTGGGGGTAGTCGATTGCGGCTCCCCCCTCGGAGGCCACGATCCTCGTGAGGGGTGTCGAAAAATACCCTCCCCTGGAGTGGTCTCAAGCCGTAGTGCAGGGCTTATTCCACAATCAGTGCTCGCACTGAAAGCGTCCTGGCGGAGATTGAAGGCTTTGGCGAACGTGCCGGCCCGACTTCAGTAGGCCGCGCCGGGTTCCTGGGTTCCCAGTGCTACGTTCCGGGGTTCCGGTTCTTGGTCCCGGGGCCGATTTCGGTGGGCGGCGGGGTTCTGGGTTCCCGATTTCTTGGTCGATGTTCTACTCCATCGGATTTACCATCGATCTCATTACCCATTTCTCTACCGTTCCCACCATCGATCTCACTATAGATCGAAGAACGACCTCACGATCGATCTCACATAACCGATTTCACTATCTGTCTCACGATCGGCATTATCATCATCCTCGCTAGCGATCCCACTACCTTTCTCACTATCGACCTCACAATCGATCTCAATATCCATATCACTAATCTTCAAACTATTCACTGACTGGGTTTGCTCTCTGGTGTAAGATTTATCTTCATGCCCAAAGGAGAAGCAATCCACACTAGTGGAAGTGCAGAAGGCATCCGCACTTGTGAATGATGAGGGATCGCCCTGCCAGCAGGTGCCGATAGAAATGGGATGAGGAAAGAGTCGGGGAGGAGCACGAGCGTGGTCGTGACGCGAGGCGCGACTTGCCGTTAATGTTTGCACACTTTGCGGAATCTGCCATCAGGCAGATCATGACTCGACTGTTTGGCCGCCCTCGGACACTGGCCCTGTGCTGACATGCGTACTGTTGTGCTGGAGCACATAGTGGTCAAAAGGGCCGAAGCGCTCCTCTGACGGAAACGCAGGGCCGAGGTCTCGCTGTCTCAGGGTTGGCGTGGATGTTTAGGTTTTGATGGTCGACGATTCCTGTTTCACCTGCGCTTCTGCTCCCTGGGCTTTTTTTAACGGCCGTGCCTTTTTGTTGTGGGTTGCTGGCAAACTTTGATGCCAGCACCCCCCTCCTGCAGAGCCCCTGCTCCTAGACGGCCCAGGGCCGAACAGAACAAACACTCTTCGGGAGCTCCTCGCGCAGGAATTCCTCGCACGCAGTTTCATTGTCAGGTTTGGGGGGTTTGCGGCAGGCTCTCACGGGCGCTGCGGGCCGTTCCTGCAATGTTTCAAGTGTTGCTTTGCGACGTGGGTAACTACTTCTCTATGCGCAGGGTAGCCCCGGGGCGCGTTTCGGCTTTCCGGAGGAATCCCCGCTGCGGCTCGTTCGAGTTTCACCTTGTCCCGGTTCCCAATCCGTGCAACTGTTTTCAGAAGTTCTTCCCTAGAGCCTCCAGAGCTGCTTCGTCAGGCTGCAGCACATGTGAAGTTATAGTGCATCTCAATTCTGGTCTTGTTCTGTTTTCCGCACGCGCATCGCGTACCGATAGCGTCGCCTGCGCTCCTCGCACGCCTGATCATCATCACTACCAACATCACCATCACTATCACCGCCCTTATTTTCCCGTTTCCTTTCCCCTTATCCTTGCCGTTCCACTTCACAAAACAACAGGAAGGCCCCGGACGCAATATTCAATGATTTTTGCAAGGTTGTTCGCTAGATAACTGTATGTCGTACCAAAGCCTTCACATCAGCAGGGCTCGAAGACACTCGCCAGCGACCTCGCCGCGCCCTCAAATAAAGAACTTGCACTTTCGTTTCCTATGCCAAGCAGAAAATGGATAGAGCGAGGTACGAGTGATGACGTTCTGGTTGGGCGAAGCCCGGGGAGGGGCGAGGGCCGCGCGCATGGTTGTTAATGGCCGCCAGGGGGCCGTTTCCTTTTTACATTACCTAACAGCTTGTGCTGATAGGTTTCTAGTAGGGTCAAAAGAGAGCATCATGACACTCCAGGGGGGTCCGGGCGGAAGCCGGCAGAAACCGGGAGAATCCGGCGGAACTCATTCCGTGCGTGCAGGTACGCACGGGAGCCACCTCGGCGCCATCGGAGGTGTGTTTCCGTGCGTGCAGGCACGCACGGGAGCCACCTCGGCGCCATCGGAGGTGCGTTCCGTGCGTGCAGGTACGCACGGGAGCCACCTCGGCGCCATCGGAGGTGCGTTCCGTGTGTGCAGGTACGCACGGGAACCTCTTCGGCGCCATCGGAGAAGCGCTCCGTGCGCGCAGGTGCGCACGGGAGCCACTTCGGCGCCATCGGAGGTGAGTTCCGTGGGTGCAGGTACGCACCAGAGCCACCTCGGCGCCATCGGAGGTGCGGCTGAGGCTGAGGCAGGCTGAGGCTGAGGCTGAGGCTGAGGTTGATGCAGGCTGAGGCTGATGCAGGCTGAGGCCGCAGGAGTATGCGGGAGCGCAGCAGGCTGAGGTTGAGGCAGGCTGAGGTTGAGGCTGAGGCTGATGCAGGCTGAGGCTGAGGCTGATGCAGGCTGAGGCTGAGGCAGGCTGAGGCCGAAGGGGTATGCGGGAGCGCAGCAGGCTGAGACTGACGCAGGCTGAGGCTGAGGCTGAGGCTGATGCAGGCTGAGGCTGAGTCAGGCTGAGCTGACTTGTCCTGCGGAGCTCCAGTGCCACAGAAGATGCATGTGTAGCTTCCTCGTCGCATTAGGGGCTCCAGCGTCACCGAATTTGTCATTTTTTTTACCGTCGCTGTCCACTATTGATCGCAGCGTTTCGCTTCCAGTCAAATCCAAACATGAATCTAAAGAAGAATGCTTCCATGTATGCTCATACACATGGTTGTTAGGTTGCTTTGCTGGGATATTTTGTTTCTACTGAAGCGGCTCGCGGGTGCCTCCACGGCCCGTTTCCTTGAATTCGTTTCGAGTGCAGCGGCTCAAGGGCCCCAAGACGGCCCAAGAGGGCACCAAAACGACCCAAAGACGGCGGCCCCAACAGAGCTTCGGATGGCCTCCAGACGGTCCGAGGGAGCTTCGAGACGGCCCCAGGGACCCTCCAGAGGGTCCTCGAGAGGGCCTCATGAGGCCAACATCATGGATTTCCCTAGGTTTTTGACGGTTTTTCGGATTCTCGTTCGTTCGGGCCCGGACGGGCCCGACACGGCCCATGAGGCCCCAAAGCTTGTCCCAAGATGGCCCCACAGGCCCCCCAAAGAGGCAGAACATTGCCCAAGAGGGCCAAGAGGGCCCCCAGAGGGCCCCAGAAGGGCCCACGACGGCCCAATAGGGCCCCACGACGGCCCAAAAGGGCCCAACGATGGCCCCAAGAGAGCCCCAAGAGGGCCCAAAAATTGCCCCAAGAGGCCCCCAAGAGAGCCCCAAGACGGCCAAAGGCTCCAAGACGGCCCAAAAGGGCTCCAAGACAGCCGAAGTTTGCCCCAAAAGGGGCTCCCAAAGGGCTCCAAACGGGCCCCAAGGCGACCCCGACGAGGCCCAAGAGACGCTCAAGAACGCCGCCATGGCTCCCATCAGCGAGCGGTGACGTAGCAAGCTCTTGACACCAAGGCTCCCCAGAGCGTGGTGACGTACAGAGCTCGTCACACCAAGGTTCCGAAGAGCGAGCCGCAACGTACACATCTCTGAACACCAAGGCTCCCAAGAGCGAGCGGCGACGTAACAAGCTCTTACCACCAAGGCTTCCAAGAGCGAAGGGTGCCGTGAGCCTTTTCGGGCCAGTTCCTGAGGCGTTCTTTCCGTTTCCGTGCCAGCCCAGGTTTGTAAGCTTTCGGCCCACCCCGCCATTGTGCCAGGGTTGTGGGTCAGAGCCCAATCGTTTGCATTTGAGGATCTCTTGGGATGCTTCTCGAAGGCTGCTTGCAGGCAGTTTTTATGCCTCTTGGAGTCCTCCTCGGGCCTCTTGAGGCCTGCTGGCGGTCTCGGGGATCCCCGTAGGCTCGAAATTTCAGTGTTCCACCTCTTGGGGCAATATTGGGCCGTATTGGGAGCTTATTTCGGCTCTCCTGGGGCCCTCTTGGGGCGATCTCGGTATCCTCCTGTGCCTCCTTGGAGCGTTGGAAGCCCGAAAGGGCGAGAACGCCAAAATGCTGAGCCCTAGGATTGGCAATGGATTTTGCCTATTTTGGGGTCCTCCCGGGGCCCTCCTGAGTGAAGGGGCCCCAGGACACACAAATAAATACACACAAATAAAAATATTCCCCATATTTTCAATATTTTCTCAGTTTTTGTCTTCCCCACCACTTCCCGTACTTTCCCATATTTTCCTGGGGATCGACGATTAATTGTGTCTGTGTGTTGTTTCCCCTCCTGACTGAGGGCCTCTCGGACCCGAGGGCTCGACATGCTCGCTCGGGTCCCCCGTCTGAGCTCCCTCTCGGAGCCGTTTCAGGGCCACCTTGGGCGTCTCGGAAGCCTCTTGGGCCGTCTCGGGGTCCTCCTCCTCGTCCTCCTCCTCCTCCTTGCCCCCTTTGTGGGCCCCGGAAACGGCAGGGCCGCTTTTTCACAGTTTCCCCAAAAATGCCCATTGAAAATGGAAACGGCAAAAAAACGGCGACCAGAAACGGCAAAAAAACGGCTCCAGGATGGGAAGTGGAGCCAGAACCGGTCAAAAGATGGCGACGGAACCGGTAAAACAACGGCGTCGGAACCGGCAAAAAAACGGCAAAACGGAACCGGTAAAAAAACGGCCTTGTCGTTTACAGGGCCCACTAGGCTTGCCCCCGCCTTTGCGACCTCTCGAGACTCTCCACTGATTTCGCCCGTCTTGGCGCTCGCTGACCTCTGAAAAATCTGGCGGGGAGCCACAGAAGGCACGCGGCACACACTCCAGGGCATCTGGCATGTTTGGCTCGGGGCCCCTTCCACTTGTTCATGCTTGAGGATGCAGTATCCAAAAGTCCGGCCGATTTCGGATGGCGGCCAGGCTCCGGGTTCCCAGGTTCCCGGCGGATGGTTCCGGGCCAGCCACGATTTGCCTCACAGCCGTTTCAAATAGCCACGTCACTAATGTTCAAACCATCCACCGATTGGGGTTTCTCTTCGGTGAAAGTTTCCAGGCTGAGGCCGCCGCCCCCGAGGCCCTCCCCGAGGCCGACCCGTTGCCCACCAGCGGTGAGGACCTGCGCGCGGCACAGGGAACCGAGAGGCGCGCGCTTGTGGGCACTGCTGGTGGGTCGGGGTCTCCCCTCCTCCCTCCTCCCTCCCCCTCCTCCCTCCTCCCTCCTCCCTCCTCCCTCCTCCCTCCTCCCTCCTCCCTCCTCCCCCTCCGCCTCCGCCTCCCGCCTCCCGCCTCCCGCCTCCCGCCTCTCGCCTCCCGCCTCCCTCCTCCCTCCTCCCTCCTCGGGGGCCGCCACGGGCGGTTCTGTCAGCCCAGCGGTTGTTCAGCATCGTCGGAACCATCCCCACCCCCACCAGCGTGAGTTGGCTCTCCCAGCGTGCCCCAATCTGGGTGGGGTCGGGTGCTGCGCATCCCGAATCAGACCGTGCCCATCCCCACCCATGGGGGGCAGATTGCCCAGCGGAGACATGGTATCCCTGGTGGGGGTGGAGATTGCTTTGCTCGTCCAGAGTTGTGATTGTGTCTTCCTCGCTCCAGATGGTGACCGTTCTCATGAGATAGGAAGTCACGGAAGTTTTTGTTCGTCTTGCATTGAGTGTACATTGGCGAATAGCGCTCAATAACGCTTGCACCGCTCCCAGTAGTGCCCAAACACCGCCATATGAGGGAGATGCATG